CATCAATTATAGTGCTTTGCAGATAAATGTAAATTTTTGTTACTTTTCGTGTTATTGTATGCTGTTTAATATGCAAAAAAAGGAAAGAAAAATAGGTAAACTTGGAGAAACCATAACTTAGCGCTCTATAACTTAGGAAAAAATTAAAATGTGAATACAAATACTACCCTGATATTTACTTGAGTATCTTCTCCTACCTTTTGTCTTAACTGAACTGCATGGTTGTTGTCTTTGGCTGTAAGGTAGAGGGAGCGAACTTGATTTTGCACGTTGCTATAGAAGGTTGTTTCCCAAAACTGTTGGTTAGTCCAGATAGGATGGTCTTGTACACAGGTGTAAGCAAACTGACTAACTCCAGGTGCTAATTTCTAAAAGCAAAAAATGTGCAAAATTGAAAAGTTAATCCGGTTACTTCATTTCCTTTCAAGGCTACGGCTTGAGTATTGAAATATACATAACGTCAGTGGTACAGACTGAAATATGCAATATATACCATCTTTTGTACTGCAGTATAGGAAACAGAAATTATCTCCAGTTTTGTGCCATTAAAGAAATTAACATTAAGGAAACTTGTATACAAGTCTAGCTCTAGTGCAAGGCACGGCTTTCTTGATTCACAGTAGAAGAATGAGACTTGAGAGGAAGAATTCTGTGGTGATAGTACATAACACATTTCTAATAGAAAATTTTCCTTGCCAACAAAAATACAGTATTTTTAATAACTTAGTCCTACAACAAAGAAATCAGTATTCAAACAGATGAAAACTACTTCTCATTTTATTTAAGAGTCAGAACTACAGTAGTAACATTTAAAATAATTGTACATGGCAACTGAGTCCTTCCAGTAAGTTGCATTTGTTGCAGTAGCAAAAGATTAGATAAACTGTTCTCTTCATTGTTATCTACTGCACTATATGACCCAAATCCAGCTCCTGAAAGAGTACTGAATTGGGTATGTTCTTTGAAGTCACAAGGGTCTGGAGCCTTATAAGGTCTCAAACAAAACCAGAATTGTTACAGAATTACTCATTATGAATGAACCATTTTTTTCAAGTAGGTCTATTTATTTCGGTAGCAGCAGTCTCACAGTGAGTTGTTTAATATTCTTGATAACCACATACAATGAAAGGAAATTTATTTCAATGACCTGAATCATGAGGAATGAAACTTATATCATATGTTCTTACCTTTTGAGAAGGGAAAAAAAAACCCAAACCCCCAAACAAACAAAAAAACCCCACCACAATCAAATTTGTGTTGCATACTGCATATAGCAAAGAAGGTAATCTAAATACCTGCTTATGATTATTTCTGCAGTAGAAGTGAAGAATAAAGTACATTACTGGGTGCCTCACTTAATGACTTTCACTCAGAATACCACCTACACCTGGTATATACACTATATCTAGAAGTTAAATTTTACTTTAATGACTACATTGTAAACCACTTTCCCATAGAGCATGAATACTATCCAATTTAATATGTATAATTGTACGATTGTACACAACAGCCAGTATATATAATGCTTAGTATCACTAAGTAGGCACCCGGGCATTCAAGTGGAAGGCTAGGAAATCACAACTGAAAATTTTGAAGTCTGGTTTACAGATTTCTGGTTTTGCAATTCTTCGAACTGTGTTTTCCATGCTCTGCTCTTCCAAGTACATCATGAACTAAAAGTCCTGATCATGTGCCATGTATTCATTCCCTATCACAGACAAGGTCCTCTGAAATGGCATGTTCAGGGAAATGATATGTGACATACTTCTACAATTTTACCCAACCTTCCTGTGTTTAACATTAAAAAGTGAGAAATATAATTTTTATTTTACCATGCAGAATTTCATCAAAATTTCTTAGTAACTGTTAAGAAATCTAAGTATGTGGAAGATTCAAATTACATTAAATGTGACTGTTTCTTCAATACAGATTGAAACAGAATATAGCTGGTTTGTTCAACAGATTCCCAAGTTTCAGTTGTGATGCAGTTTATGGTAGCTCAAGAAAATGAGAACTGATTACACAGTAATGGCTCTTGATCTAGCTGTTAAATCACAGAACAGGTCAGCTCAAAGTGTCCTACTGATCTTTGTGTGGACTGCTGGGCACCCCTTGAAAAAATCTCAGGCATACAAAATATACACTAACACATGATGATGTCAAGCCTGTAAGATGACCAACTGAAAATGACACTGAATCTTTTAATTGTAAAAAATGAGAAAATGTTAAATAAAAAAAAAAATCTACAGTAGGACTACCTCCTTTACAGTAATCTTTATTCTTTAAGAACCGTAGACATATATTTTGCTGTTGGTAGGTTTGTATACAGCTAGCTTAAAATGGCTTCATTTGTTCAGCTGTGGCATTTAACACAGGGCCTACAGAATGGATCTGCTCCAATCACTCACCTGACTCAAAATCCAGATGCACAAAAGTGGTGTTACAGAGGAACAGGGACAACAAGGAGATCATGGAACGTAAAGATGGACAACACATCTTGAAAGCAAGAGTTACTGGAGTAACTGCTAAAGCTATACAATGACTTTTACTTTGATTTATTCTTTATTTTTTTTCACTGGCAGTAATTCCCAGGCACAATACAGCTGCAAAAATATGTCAGAAAAGGGGGGAAAAAAAAAAAGTGTGTTCCAGCCTAGCTAGTTGGTATAGTTAATGCATGCCAATTTGTGTAGTGAATGCCACACAAAGGAGTGATTTGACTATCAACCTGAGCAGCTGCCTTTGACCTTGAATGCCTCAGCCAAAATCAGGTAATTGTGTAAAATAGGTAAAGAAAGGGTGATCTTTGGTACAAACCCAAAAGAAAACAAACTCTTAACCCTGGGTCCATACTCATAGTGTTGCAGAAATAAAAATGAAACAAATTATTTTCACATGGGGACAAACATGACATGAAAGCTGACAGGTTGTTTTAGATGCTCTTCCTGGGCTCATAATTTATAACCATGAAGAGCCATGTACAACACACAACTTTTAAACGATGGCGATTTATGTTCAAATATAACAACATCAATCAACACTGGCAGTAACTCCTAGGCAAAGTAAAAATAGTTTGTTTACAAAATGATGAAAGGAAACCCATCAAAAAGCTAAGTGATCATAAACATTATCCTTCCCATCACCTGCATGTGTTGAAACAAATGGCAAAACCCGACAGTGGCCAGAGCCCAGAGACAAAGTCAGGACTTGTAGTGCCAGTTATTTTGGGCAAAACCACTTTGGACTCTCAGCTTGTTTTGGTTAGTTTGTTTGTAAAAAACCAGTATGAATACCAACCTTAAGAAGCACACTGCTGCTCCTATGCAGTCAAAATCCATGGACTAAAAATAATCTTGGTACAAATATAAGCATTCCACGAAGCTTGCAGTGTCTATATTCTCTATGCTGGGAGTGCTTAGTCAGCCCATTTGACTAGAATGGAAACTAATCTATTACATCAAAGGGGCCCAATGTTTACTGTTGTGCTGAGAAGAATTCGCTCAGGATTTCTCCAATTTAAGTAAAACGGTTGTTCAATGTTTGTCATCATGCAATACTACACATATAAACCAAGTCTGCACCTCTCTTTCCGTAGGACAGCTAAACTATGATATTTATGCTCTTTCTTCCTGTCCCGATAATTCATTTGTGCCAGACAGAACAAACGTAGGAGGCAGCAAAAGAATTTCCTACTTATAAAGGAGGATTTAAGGGCTGACAGCAAATAAGACCCTAGAATATAATAAAAATAGTTCTGAACTGATAAAGTCCTTATTCTAAAGCTGTCTGTATGATAGCTTAAATTAGCAATGAGGTGTAAATTGTATTAATCACCAGGAAATGAATTAACTTCGGCAATATACACTGAGTTCTTTCAATCGACCAATGGCACTTAAAAAACCCCAAACACTCCCCTCACAAATTATGTATGAGACACACATTACCCATATCAAAGTAACGAATTACATTCTACAGTTTGTGAAAACACAAGGTAGATTTGGGACATGCTACGTGTGACTATATACAACTTCCTGAACCTAGGAATTACCTTTCCATGGTTTCTACCTTACTGAGTGGCACTGGGTAATACCTGCCTAGAACTTTTTCTCTGTTTCCTGACACTGGATACTTCCGATTCTGAAAACGATACTTGCAGCTCCGTAAAACATGCACACTGACTATGAGACTCCCAATCTCACAGAGGTGCATGTCCCCAAAGAGCTTCTCTATGACATTATATTATTTCGATTGCTTGTTTCTGGAGAAAAAAAGCATGCTTTGTGCTGAGCACTCTTCAGTCAATACCCTTTTCACCACAAAAGCTTGAAGAAGAAAGCAAGTTTAGTCTCGCAAGGCAAAGGATCCAGTTACTGATTGTGAAGGTGGAAGAGTTAAAAACAACAAGAGTAAAAACCAGAATATAAATCTACCTGAGACTGCTCTTTTCTCACAGGATTTTACTGCTATGGAAGTGAAGGGTCAAACTCAGCAGTACTCTACTTCTTAGAGAAATGCAGTTTTCTTTGGAAGTTTACTTCTGTCTCCAATTTATATTCTGGGTTATTCGTTTGGGTATTTTTGGTGAAAAGGAGAAGAGGTGAGAAGGTGGTTGCTTTCTAATGCAAAAAATAGCTTCCTCCTCAGCTCCTCGAGGAACCACTGTGCTACGGGTTATCTGCTTGACCTTTGTGAGGAAGCTGTTGCAACACCCATGAAATTACACACCGATCTTCTCTGCACACCAAAGGAGATCACAGCACTTCCTCTCCTGTGTTGGTTAAGGTTCTCCCTGGATGTCGCCAAGTGTAGGCTTATACATCATCCAGGATATAGTGTCACTGCTACTTTAAGGGTTACTCCCCATCTAGGAGCAACACCGTGCCCCTCCGCAAGGCGACGTCAAGCATGTTCTGCATGTGAACGTATTCTCTGAGCCAGTCCTGCATTCAGACCCATGTTGTGCACACACAGATATACCTGGAAAGTTCAAAAGGACTTCAAAGAAGTCCCATGGGACCAACCTACATAGATTGACCTGCAGGAGTGAGGCTTATCTGTGTATTACTTGCAGACAACACTGCATCACACCGTGCCTATATATATATCTCAGTATTTATCACAGCATACACATACTCAAACAGGTATAACTGTATATGAATATGTTTTCAAGTCTGACTGAGTTCTGCATGGATAACACCAGTCAAAAAATTCCATTCAATAAATGGTTTTCCCATTTGGTCTAAAATATAAAATTATACCCACATGTATTGTACACACAAATATGAGGAAAAGTCATAAAAGCACAAAGTAAGAACTGTGAAGCTTTTGCTGCTATTATTTATTTTAGTTTTGATTTTTACTGCTTTGG